ATCCTCAAGTTAGAATATTTCCAGAGTGCTTCTAGTGCTGTCAGCCCCTTCTAAATGTGTTTAAATGGGTGAAAGGCCCTTAATAAGAGCTCTAGAGTTGAAAAGATCTTCGAATGATTGTCTTTATCTTTAAGACCTTTAAAAGAGCTAAAAGACTTTCCAATACTACTATTTGTCGGGAAAATTTCCTAAAGGTCTCGCAAAGATAGGAGAGTCTCTTAAAGCCTTTTATGGAAAGAGGATCTTTTGGAAATCGATAGAAAGAATACCCTTCTAAGTATCCTCTACAGGTCTTTTACGCCTGGGTTCTATAATAAGTGAGGACGTTCAATGAGTTCTCCCCGGGTAGGTGTCCTTTTGTGGATATTCTCAAGTTGGAATATCCTCCAAAGGGCTTCTATGGCTGTAAGCCCCTTCTAAAGGAGATTCTTTATAAGAGCCCTAGCATTAAAAAGATTGTCGAAGGGTGTTTTATATTTTGAAGGGCTCGTAAAAGACCTGAAAGACCTTCCAAAGGGACTATCTGTCGAGAAATATTTCTAAAGATCTTCAGGAGGAGATAGCATAGTCTCTTAGAGCCTTTTACCGAAAGAGGATATTTTGGGGATCGATAAAAGCACTCTCCTAAAGGTCGAAAATCTACTTCGGGTTGAAAATTAATTGACGGCGTTAAGAGAGTCCTCTATAGGTAGGGATTCTTTTAATCGACATTTCCAAACCAGAATAGCTCCAACTGGCTTTGGACCTCTTCTAAAGGATATCTTGAAAATATTATTAAAGACCCGAAAGGCCTGTCAAAGAAACTATTTGTCGAGAAATATTTCTAAAGGTCTTCATGAGGAGAATGGGATACCATCGGAGAGCCTTTTTGGAAAGAGGACCTTTTGGAGATCAATAAAAGGAATACTCTTCTAAAGGTCAAAAATCTACTTCGGGTCGAAAATTGTTTGAGGACGTTCCTCCATAGGTAAAGATTCCATATGTAGGGATTCTCCAACTGACTTTGGGCCTCTTCTTACAAGGATATCTTGAAGATCTTTTTAAAGACCCAAGGCACGTTTTGGTCGTATTAAATAATATATACCCTCCCTCTCTAGCCATATGTCTGAGGATATAAAAAGGTAAAGGAACTCAAATTCAGATTCATTCATTATTGCCATCTCTGAAATTCCCATCTCTTGTATCCGATGAGCGGTTCAGGACCTTGAATCTCTTAGCAGATTTTAATTACGCTTCATAATTAGCCCTCTGGTAAAGCATGACACCAAACTTGTTTCCTTCTAGCTGGCATTCTACAAGCATCCAACTTCAGGGTCATTTTGAGAGTGGCTCTCAAAAAAAAAATCCCCCGGATTTTTGTTCTGTTGCTTATTTTAAATAAATCAAAATTGTTAAAGTAATATTCTGCTAGCCATATGTTTGTTGTAATACAAGGTCTTCTGGTTTATATTTTTTTACTCAAATAAACCCCTCCCTTGCCCCTGAATTGGTTTCGCTTCCCTTTCTTTGGTAGTGAATGAATGAATGGCTTGGTTAACGCCACCTCTTGCCTCTCTTCTCCCCGAAAAGACTGATATTTTATTGTTTTTCTTTTTGTTGATGTCGGCTTGTTCGACTGTCGGTCGGTCTCTCAGATTTTTTTTTTTTTTGTAACTTTACACAAGTGTTTTTTTCTTGTTATTGTTGTTGGTTTGTTTGATCGTTCAGCCCAGACATCTGGTCTCATTTTTTTAGGTTTTTTTGCTGTTGCTTTTCATTGTAACCCAGTGCGAAAGCAACAAATAAAGCGATCATATCACCATAATACCGGAAATCACGTTTAATTTTCGAAAAAAAAAATTGAATTGGATATCTGTTGCAGGGGAGGCCTGGCGAGAAAAGAGAAGAAAAACAGGGCGAGACAAACACTTTAAGTGTCAAGAAAAAAAAATAAAAAAACCATGGCGCTAATTCAAATTGGTCCGATTGGGCCCTTCAACAAAAATTCGCCTGGTATTTTCTTTATGAGGGATAGGCCCCAATATAAAGGCTACATTCGGTATTTTTAAGATTATAACGGATTTTATTTTATTTGTTTTTTTTTTTTTTTTTTTTGATAATTGCCAAATTCATTCCAAATGGTGGAGGGTATTAAAAATTCAGCCCGGCCCAAGTTACAACATATTCCCTTATTTTATTTTATATTATTATTTTATTTTTATATCACTTTTTAATTTTGTTTTTATATTATTTTTTGATTTTTTATATCATTATTTTTTTTTTTAATTTTTGATTTTATATTGTTATTATTTTTTATATAATTTTTTGTTATTTTTTCTATTATTATTTATATTATTTTTTATATTATTATTTATATTATTATTTATATTATTATTTATAATATTTTTTTATTTTTTATTTTTATATTTTTGTTTATATTATTTTTCATATTATTTTTTTTTTTTTTAAATTTGTTTATATTTTATTTTTGTAAAATAGTCAGGCTTAATCCAATTATTGTTGTTTTTAAAAAAACAACGTTTGTTTATTATTGGAGAAAGATGGTAATGTTTACCAGGGGGTTAGGCAAGGAATACCCTGCCTACGGTATAACGAACAAACATGCCAACATTGTTTTATTTTTTATATTATTTTTTTATTTTTATGTTATTTTTTTATTTTTATATAATTTTTTTATTTTTATATTATTTTTTTTTTATTTTTGTTTTATATTATTTTATTTCTTAACTATTTTTTTTATTTTTGTTTTATATTATTTTATTTCTTAAACTATTTTTTTATTTTTGTTTTTATATTATTTTATTTTTTAAACTATTTTTTTATTTTTGTTTTTATATTATTATTTATTTTATTATTTATATTTTTTTATATTATTTTTTATATCATTGTTTATATTATTTTTTATTTTTTCTATTTTTTATATAATTTTTTTTTATATTTTGTTTTTGTAAAATAGTCAGGCTTAATCCCATTATTGTTGTTTTTATAAAAATAATGTTTGTTTATTTGTATAGAAAGATGGTACTGTTTACCAGGGGGTAAGGCAGGGAATACCCTGCCTACGGTATCCCGAACAAACATGCCAACACTGTTAATTTTTATTATTTTAATATTTTTTTTCATTTTGATTTTATATACTTTTTTTTAATTTTTATATATAATTTTGTGATTTTTTTTAAATTATTTTTTATTTTGTTTTTATATTTTTATTTAATTTTTAATTTTTTTTATTTTTTTATCACTATTTTTAATATAATTTTTTATTCATTCTATTATTATTTATATATGTTTTTATATTATTTTCCAATTTTTTTATATTATTTCCTGTTTTTGTTTTTATATTAATATCTTATTTTTTAATTTTTTACATTATTTTTTTATTTTTTTATATATTTTTTTTATTCTTTTATATATTTTTTTTATTTTTTATATATATTTTTTGGTTTTTCTATATATATTTTTTTATGTTTTATATTATTTCGAATATTAATAATTATTAGAACAGAGTTTGGCTTGCTTGTTTGGGATACCATAGTATTTTGTTGTTGCAAAATCGTCAGGCGAAATCCCATTATTGTTGTTTTTATAAAAACAACGTTTGTTTATGAGTGGAGAACGATGGTAATGTTTACCAGGGGGTAAGGCAGGGAATACCTAGGTTTCGGAAAGAGCCACCAATCCTCATCAGTTCCCTTGTTTCTTGTCTGGGATATTCTCCCCAGAAGTTATTTAAAAAAATAACTTCTATGACAAAAAACATTTTTTTTACCCAAGTGACGAGATCGTAAGCTCAATAGAAGAGGAACAAAAGAATTACATAAAACTAAAATTCTTTTGGAAAATCTTCTAAATCTTACAAATCTTCTAAATCTTATAGACACAGGCACGGTCGACGAAGGGGTTTTTGTTGTAACAGACAAAACAAACTTACATGGTTATGTTACTTCGTTCAGGTTGAACGAAAGCATAACAAAGTGGAGAAAGATGTAAATGTTTATAAGTGCGGTTGTAAGATTTAGAAGATTTTCCAAAAGAATTTTAGTTTTATGTAATTCTTTTGTTCCTCTTCTATTGAGCTTACGATCTCGTCACTTGGGTAAAAAATGTTTTTTGTCATAGAAGTTATTTTTTTAAATAACTTCTGGGGAGAATATCCCAGACAAGAAACAAGGGAACTGATGAGGATTGGTGGCTCTTTCCGAAACCTAGGTATTCCCTGCCTTACCCCCTGGTAAACATTACCATCGTTCTCCACTCATAAACAAACGTTGTTTTTATAAAAACAACAATAATGGGATTTCGCCTGACGATTTTGCAACAACAAAATTAATAATTATTTTTATATTTTTTATTATTTTTATATTATTATTTTTTTATAGTAATATAATTTTTTATTATTTATATTATTTTTATATTATTTTTTTAATTTTGTTTTTATATTATTTTAAAATTTTTTTATATTATTTAATATTTTTGTTTTTATATTATTATCTCATTTTTTTAATTTTTTTTATTATTTTTTTATTATTTTTGATTTTACCTTTTTTTATATATTTTTTATATATTTTTTTATTTTTTATATTATTTTTTATATTAATAATTATTTTTATATTTTTTATATTATTAATTTTTTATTATTCTTTTATTTTATATTTATTTTTTAATTTTATTTTACTCTACAATGTGCCCACCGAGTCGATTGAAATCTATAAGAAGGTAACATCAATTATCATATCATCCTAAAAGTATGCTCCATATTTGGTTTAAAATATTCATTTAAACTTACAACGGCAGACTAGCCAAGAAAACCGTTAAATTTAAATGCAAGTAAAGTGAACAATGAGAGCCAGAGGAGAAAAGGTTTTTTGTTTGTTATACGAAAAGAATATCCGATAGAGATTGTTTATGGGAAGGTTAGAGAAAGTTAGTTGTTTAAAGAAAATATGAAAATAAAGGAGAGTTGCCATATTTATTGAGGTAAGATTTGGGGATAAAATTTGGAATTTTTTGTATGAAAGAGTTTTATGAAAGCCTTAACTTTATATAAAAAATATAAAATAAAACATTTCTACAGCCAAGGAGTTCTGTTCTGTACCTGACTTTAGTAAACCAACTGAGGTAATCTATTATTTTCTATTTTTCACATTAAAATTTCAATTTTTGTTTTTGGACAAATTATTGAAGTATCGTTCTGCATCAATGATATGATGTGTAAATTGAACAGTAAATGTATTCTAGTTACATTTTAAGAAATTAAATAATTTATATTATATAAAAATATATATAAAAAAATATTTATTTTTATTAAAATTACCTTGCCACATTGTTGTATTAAATCAGAATTTAATATTTTGATAAAAGTAAGAGGGGGTTTTCAACAACACTTACCTAAAACGAGAAGAGAAGAAAAAATGTATGCATTATTAATTAAATTAAAATTAATTATGACAAAAAAAAACAAACAAAAATGTATGGCAATAAACACTTCAAGGATTTTCAAGGATTTCATATAATGACCATCAAGTAGTGGCATTGTAAAATTTACCCACTATGACCTTCCAAACAAAAGGCCAACTTTTAGTTGGCCTAATTAATGTTCTCCCAAGAGGTCATCATGTTTGCATAAAAAATGGGCCATCACCAGATTTGTAATCAAATATGAATCTCGTTTTTGTGTCAATATCATTTACACACCCAAATTGATGAAAATTGATAAATCACGTTTTGGCGTAAGCGATTGAGCGATAAAATAATAAGAATAAAAACAAACAAAGAAAGTTCGAAAACGATTTTCTAGTAAATGCAAAATTAATATACAGTGTGTGGTCCTTGGAGAAGGGTGACGTTCAATGGAGGTAAAAAGGGAAGGGAAAGAAAAGCAAACTTGGCACCACAAAGGACCTTAAAAAAAATTCAATTTTCCTTTTACTCCATATTAGGACCTCAGGAACTTTTTTAAGTCTTAAGGACATCGCATAAATCTGTTCAAAGAACTTATCGTAATATCGTCTAAGGTATCAGAAAAAATTGAAAAAAAAAAATGCATTAATGAAAATTTTTGTTAAAAAATCGAGATATGCAAATCTTAGGGTCTTCAGGGCAATATTCAAAAAAATCCCGCTTTCTCTCATTTTTTTTTTTTCAATTGGTAGTCTAACCATAAATTATCGAGATTTTTACGCCACATTTTTTCACAGCTTTTCATTTGACGCCAAGAAATCCCATTTTCATTTTTTTCTTTTGTTAAATTAATTTTTGCAAATGCCATTGAAACAGTTTTTTTTTTGCTACTGTTTTCATATTTGAGGGCGACAGATGGACTGCAAAAATAAAAAAAATCCATAACCTGTCTGTCTTTCTTAAAAATACTTATTTTTAGCCACGTATTGAAAAATATTGGAAATTGAGGACATAAAATGCGGGTAATAAACATGGTGTAAAAAACAGATACAAAGAACAACAAGTAAAAAAGCTGTAAGTTCGGCCGGGCTGATCTTTGAATACCCTCCACCGTTTGTCCGGAATTTGGCAATTTTCAAAATCCACAAACGTGGATTTCCTTAAAAAATAATTTTTAAAAAATCCACGTTTGTGGATTTCATTAAAAAATAATTTTTAAAAAATCCACGTTTGTGGATTTCATTAAAAAATAATTTTTAAAAAATCCACGTTTGTGGATTTCATTAAAAAATAATTTTTAAAAAATCCACGTTTGTGGATTTCATTAAAAAATAATTTTTAAAAAATCCACGTTTGTGGATTTCATTAAAAAATAATTTTTAAAAAAATCCACGTTTGTGGATTTCATTAAAAAATAATTTTTAAAAAATCCACGTTTGTGGATTTCATTAAAAAATAATTTTTAAAAAATCCACGTTTGTGGATTTCATTAAAAAATAATTTTTAAAAAATCCACGTTTGTGGATTTCATTAAAAAATAATTTTTAAAAAATCCACGTTTGTGGATTTCATTAAAAAATAATTTTTAAAAAATCCACGTTTGTGGATTTCATTAAAAAATAATTTTTAAAAAATCCACGTTTGTGGATTTCATTAAAAAATAATTTTTAAAAAATCCACGTTTGTGGATTTCATTAAAAAATAATTTTTAAAAAATCCACGTTTGTGGATTTCATTAAAAAATAATTTTTAAAAAATCCACGTTTGTGGATTTCATTAAAAAATAATTTTTAAAAAATCCACGTTTGTGGATTTCATTAAAAAATAATTTTTAAAAAATCCACGTTTGTGGATTTCATTAAAAAATAATTTTTAAAAAATCCACGTTTGTGGATTTCATTAAAAATAATTTTAAAAATCCACGTTTGTGGATTTCATTAAAAATAATTTTTAAAAAATCCACGTTTGTGGATTTCATTAAAAAATAATTTTTAAAAAATCCACGTTTGTGGATTTCATTAAAAAATAATTTTTAAAAAATCCACGTTTGTGGATTTCATTAAAAATAATTTTTAAAAATCCACGTTTGTGGATTTCATTAAAAAATAATTTTTAAAAAATCCACGTTTGTGGATTTCATTAAAAAATAATTTTTAAAAAATCCACGTTTGTGGATTTCATTAAAAAATAATTTTTAAAAAATCCACGTTTGTGGATTTCATTAAAAAATAATTTTTAAAAAATCCACGTTTGTGGATTTCATTAAAAAATAATTTTTAAAAAATCCACGTTTGTGGATTTCATTAAAAATAATTTTTAAAAAATCCACGTTTGTGGATTTCATTAAAAAATAATTTTTAAAAAATCCACGTTTGTGGATTTCATTAAAAAATAATTTTTAAAAAATCCACGTTTGTGGATTTCATTAAAAAATAATTTTAAAAAATCCACGTTTGTGGATTTCATTAAAAAATAATTTTTAAAAAATCCACGTTTGTGGATTTCATTAAAAAATAATTTTTAAAAAATCCACGTTTGTGGATTTCATTAAAAAATAATTTTTAAAAAATCCACGTTTGTGGATTTCATTAAAAAATAATTTTTAAATTAAAAAATCCACGTTTGTGGATTTCATTAAAAAATAATTTTTAAAAAATCCACGTTTGTGGATTTCATTAAAAAATAATTTTTAAAAAATCCACGTTTGTGGATTTCATTAAAAAATAATTTTTAAAAAATCCACGTTTGTGGATTTCATTAAAAAATAATTTTTAAGAAATCCACGTTTGTGGATTTCATTAAAAAATAATTTTTAAAAATCCACGTTTGTGGATTTCATTAAAAAATAATTTTTAAAAAATCCACGTTTGTGGATTTCATTAAAAAATAATTTTTAAAAAATCCACGTTTGTGGATTTCATTAAAAAATAATTTTTAAAAAATCCACGTTTGTGGATTTCATTAAAAAATAATTTTTAAAAAATCCACGTTTGTGGATTTCATTAAAAAATAATTTTTAAAAAATCCACGTTTGTGGATTTCATTAAAAAATAATTTTTAAAAAATCCACGTTTGTGGATTTCATTAAAAAATAATTTTTAAAAAATCCACGTTTGTGGATTTCATTAAAAAATAATTTTTAAAAAATCCACGTTTGTGGATTTCATTAAAAAATAATTTTTAAAAAATCCACGTTTGTGGATGTCACTGAAAAATAATTTTTAAAAATCCACGTTTGTGGATTTCATTGAAAAATAATTTTTAAAAAATCCACGTTTGTTGATTTTATTAAAAAATAATTTTTAAAAATCCACGGTAGTGGATTTTATTAAAAAATATTTTTTTAAAAAGCCCACGTTAGTGGATTTTATTAAAAATAATTTTTAAAAAATCCACGTTTGTGGATTTCATTAAAAAATAATTTTTAAAAAATCCACGTTTGTGGATTTCATTAAAAAATAATTTTTAAAAATCCACGTTTGTGGATTTCATTAAAAAATAATTTTTAAAAAATCCACGTTTGTGGATTTCATTAAAAAATAATTTTTAAAAATCCACGTTTGTGGATTTCATTAAAAAATAATTTTTAAAAAATCCACGTTTGTGGATTTCATTAAAAAATAATTTTTAAAAAATCCACGTTTGTGGATTTCATTAAAAAATAATTTTTAAAAAATCCACGTTTGTGGATTTCATTAAAAAATAATTTTTAAAAAATCCACGTTTGTGGATTTCATTAAAAAATAATTTTTAAAAAATCCACGTTTGTGGATTTCATTAAAAAATAATTTTTAAAAAATCCACGTTTGTGGATTTCATTAAAAAATAATTTTTAAAAAATCCAGGTTTGTAGATTTCATTAAAAAATAATTTTTAAAAAATCCACGTTTGTGTATTAAAAAATAATTTTTAAAAAATCCACCTTTGTGGATTTCATTGAAAAATAATTTTTAAAAAAATCCAAGTTTGTGGATTTCATTAAAAAATAATTTTTAAAAAAATCCACGTTTGTGGATTTAATAAAAAAATAATTTTTAAAAAATCCACGTTTGTGGATTTTATTAAAAAATAATTTTTAAAAAATCCACGTTTGTGGATTTCATTGAAAAATGTTTTTTTAAAAAATCCACGTTTGTGGATTTCATTAAAAAATGTTTTTTTAAAAAATCCACGTTTGTAGATTTCATTAAAAAATAATTTTTAAAAACCCTACGTTTATGGATTTCATTAAAAAATAATTTTTAAATAAATCACGTTTTAATTTTCTTTATCTTATTAAGCTTTTTATTGACCCACATACCCAATAACCTATAAAAACATATGAGAATAAAATTTCTATTTTAATTTCAAAAATGTAATTTTTCAAAATCTCAATTGAAGGTGGTGCTTTTGTTTTTGCAGACAATTAGAACAATATTGTTTTTTTTTCGCTCTGCCCCTCTATCTCTCTCTTTTTATGCTCTTGACCAACATATGATGCTTATATGATTTTCTTCAAGATTATTGCCTTCGTTGTTGTTGCCTTCCCCCATGTGTATTGAGCGTTTTGTTTATATTTTGGCATTTAGCCAAAAATTTGTTGAAATGAATTTTAAGGTTTTAATTTTTTTGCTTTTTTTTCTATGGGTCTATTAATAAATATTTGTTATAATAATGTTTATGACTGCTGCTTCAAAAAAAAAAACAAAAAACACAATTTTTTGAGAGCTTAATTTAGTGCAATATTTTTCTTCATTGGATTTATTTGTTTAATGGCAAATAAAACATTTTTCTAAAGAAGTGAAATCATTTAGTTTATAAAAAAAAATAATAAAGAAATTGACTTATGAAGGAGAAATGTGAAGAACTTTTTATGAAAAATTAAATTCAAACCTTGATCAAAAAAAATGGAAACAATAACGGACACTCAGATTAGATTTCAGATTAGAAAATCTTGAAAAAAACAATCATTGATCCCAATCTTTTAAAATTCGCACATATAATTTCCG